GAAATGCTTAAGAAGACACACTGGCAGAGATTACTTCAAATTCACAAAGAGGACGCTGAGGTAATTCCAAATAAATTCTTGTGTAATCATTTATGAAGCACTTGGGATTACTCAAACATACCAATTACCTAATCTGAGATTTCAAATGTAAAAAAAATATTTTAATGGTGTTGGAGTTAAGGAATGAGGATCAGGGATGAGCAAAGCAAAGAGGAATTATAAAAAGCATTCTATTTACATATTTCAAAAATCTGGGGCTGTCCTAATCTCAAAATTTGCCTTGGCTTGCCTTAGTGGCTGCTGCTTTAGCTGCCTGGTTATGATTATATTTTCCTTTCTGTTGCATTTTTGGGTTTTGGTTTTTTTTTTTTTTTAAACAAAATGTATTTTCCTTTGGGTCTTTGCATGTGCTTATAAGCGGAAAAATCCCAAGCTTTCTATAGTTGAAGATATTGGAGTAACATTTTTATTTTTTATCCATACTATCTCTGTTGCCTTAATGCCACCTGGCAGGCAGGGTACTACAGTGGTTAAGGGTTTTTATTAAGACAGACTTGAGTTTGATGCCCAGCCCTGCCATTTACTAGCTATTTAACTTTGTGCACATTATTTAATTGAAGTTTCATTTGTCTTAGCTGAAAAATTGGAGTATCTTGCACATATAAAACATTTCATGAAGTACCCAACACTTAATAAGTACTGGTTAGTATTATAATGAATGCTTTTACCTAAAAGGAACATGTTTTTCCTAAAAGGAAAACATCTCAGTGATGAAAAGCCTAGGGATGGGGTGAGCACAGCCAGTAGACTTTTGGAGGTCCCTTTAAATGGCTTCATCATTGTCATCAAAAGTAGTCCAGTCTGAAACTAGGTGAGGGCCCACCCATATAACACCCCGTCTTGTAGAAAGGAAACAGGGCCAGAAGATGTCCCCCTGAGGAAGTTAAGAGAACACTCTACACTGGGGAAATGTGAACTTAGTGGGCAGGTGTCAATTGTGCCTTTTGGAAAGTGTTTATTAGAAAAACATTTCAATGGACTGGGAAAAATATAGCCACAACAAAGCAGGACCAATATTTGAAGGTGTTACTGCTATTACAAGACATCCGTGAAGTTTTCACTATGCTCCCCATCCTCCAATATCAATTCACTTATAAGTTATAGAACCCGCATGTGCAAAACCAAATCCTCCTTTGTGCATTTCATATGTCCCCTACCCTTTTAACATCTGACAGTTACTATCAATTGCTGTAATAGGGGAGGGAAGAGGGAATGGTAGGAACTATAAAACAAAATTGTATTGGATAATTTCTATAAGTAGTAAGCAGAATGGAGGTTATTGCCATAAATCAGAGAAAAGGCAAAGCTGGAGAGCGATTTAAGGGGGCAGTGCTTTCAAGAGAAGCAGTAAATGAAGACTTAAAATCAAGCCCCTTAAGCCTCAGAAGCCTGTTGTTTCTTCTGGCTTTCTGCTCAACATTGTACAGTAGTTTCTATCTTTTGAGAAGATGCTGTGGAAAAAAATGCCATTGGAAATTTAGGTCTTGAAACCAAACACTTGGGATAGATAGTTTTCTACATTTTAAACTCTCCATCTCTACAAAAAATAGAAACATTAGCTGGGCACACAGCAGGGTGTGAGCAGTGGGCAAGCGAGCAAAACTTCATCTGTATTTACAGCCGCTCCTATTGGCTCACATCACAGCATAAGCTCTGCCTCCTGTCAGATCAGCAGCATTAGATTCTCATAGGAGCGCAAATCCTACTGTAAACTGTGTGTGGGAAAGACCTATGTTGTATGCTCCTTATGAGAATCTGATGTCTGATGATCTGAGGTGGAGCTGAGGTGGTGATGCTAGCGCTGAGGAGCAGCTGCAAATACAGATTATCATTAGTAGAGAGGTTTGACTGCACAATTAATGTAATGTAATTGAATCATCCCCAAACCAATCCCCACCCCACCCTACCCCCTGTCCGTGGAAAAACTGTCTACCATGAAACCAGTCCCTTATGCCAAAAAGGTTGGGGACTGCTGGTCTAGCGTACATTGAGATTTAGCTGATAATCTGAGTAAAATTTGGCTGTTATACATTCACCTCAATAACTCAAAAATAATTTTATCAGCTTTTTCCTATTAAAAGTTTTCATCCTTCAAAATGGAGATTCAAATACCATTCTTATTAATAACTCTACTCGCTGAGCATTCTCTCAATCATCAATCTGTAAAAAACAAAAGCTTGGAAATTCTTTATATTCTCTGCCTTCTTTATAGACTCCCACTCTAGCTAAAAAAGAAGATTGTTTCTTTTTATGTCAGAAGCTGATTTAATGGGCTAAATTATACTTGCTTTACAGACAACTATAAAATTGAGACATGAACAGCTTTGTTTCCCTATAGTGAACTAGACATAATACCTTTTACTTTCACTTGTTTTTTCGAACACCATGAACACTAGATCCATGTTTTAATTTCCTACCTCTTTTCCATTAAGGTTAAAGTACATGAAACCAAATTAGAATCTCCTCTTTCTCATAATAAAGCCATGAAATTGCATTTAAAGTGTTCAGTTTGTCCTTGTGTTCCTTGGAAGAACTCCCGGTCTTTAAATTGACAGTGCAGCTGCTGACTGAAAATTATTCAGAAAGATTAATATGTTTTCAAACTAATTTTCTGTCAGAAAAGCTGATCAAAAAGGTTTACAAAATTATGTTTAAACAAAGACAATTTCTATTTATACCCATAAGAAACAAAAATAATTTTGATATACAATGAAAAACTCGACCTCATTTCAACTCAGTACTAAATGACAGAAGTACCCTGTGATGACCAAATGCTTGGGCAATGTAGAGTGACCGCCATCACTGAGCCAAAACACAATCACATGCTTCCGAGTCACAGACTGGCTCCTCAAAGTGAGCCAGCTTTTCTGGGCAGACATGGGCGCAGGATGCTGGTGGCTTCCATCAACACCCAGATGTTATGAGAGAAAGAAAGGGTGACATATGTAGTCATAAATCTTTTAGAAGAAAAACTAAATCTGCACTTTATCCTTAAATTTAAGAAAAACAGAGAAAAGGATACAACATTATGGTGCATGAAGAGCAAATGAACTAGTCTCAGATCTGGCTTGTAACATTAGATACCTCTAACTGACCTTGGGCAAGCCCAACGACTCCATTGTATGGTACTCCCACCTGTGAAATCAGAGCATGAGCTTGGTGGTATCCACATGCCTGCTTGTTCTGATATAACTCAATGGTCTCCAAATGTCTTTCAGTTGTGAAATAAGTATTTTAGATTTAAAGGATGTTAGTAGTTAAGGACCTATCTTACTCTATTGTTGTATCTTAATGTAAACCACATATTTAGTTAATAATTAGCTGTTTAAATATGGTGACACGATGCTTTAAAAAATCCTTAGAATTAGCTTTGGATGAAAAGCCTCCCACAGCAATAACTAGCAATAACTAAGATAAAACTAAATTTAGGTCATGATAGACCAACCAATTCAAGACAGAAAATAATGTGTTTTGTTCAAGTTCCGTAATGTAATTTGATACTGTTAAAACTGAACTTTCTCTTCTATAAAAAAAATTTTTAAAAAACCCTTCTTAAGGTAGGAGATTATGGTGATTGTTAAAGAATTCAGGGGCCACTTCGAATTTACTAAAATTCTCCAATACACAAATATCTGACTGAAAACCACCTATAAATTACTATCTTATATTTTACTCAAAATAATTGCTGTTCATACCTTAATTTGTCAATCTTGATGGTGATGCAGTGACCAGTTTTGATTTCTACTGGACTTTTGTAAAAGTAAATACAGTATCAATAGTTAGTATAATCATTTATACATATTTTTTTAAAAGCTATGGTAGATGAATCTGGACACATTTTATTATAAAGACAAATATTTCAGTAGGCTCCTCACAGCAATGGAGGGCTACCAGTTATCACATATAGAAGAAGTAAAGGCAGTCTTAGCATTAGCTACAAAGTATACTTCCAGCACATTTGTAACAGTCCATTTATTAATACTATACCTTTTCCCAGTGGCTCCTTAAAAAGTTAAAAAAAGAATCCATGAATAAATGACCAACAGATTATAAAAGAATGCTGTTTTGGATGTGGGATGTGACAGTATAAATAAAACAAACATGGCAAGGTAAAATTTCCCAACTTTTCCATAAAGGATTTTTCTGTTGTACTATAAATAGTTCTTATCTCTATGCTTGTCCTTTAGGAACTTCATTGCTAAGACAGAGTTATTTCAGGAATCTCTGCTAATTAGAAAAATAGATGGCAGGAACAATTCCGAGGCACATTTCTCTTTAAAAATATTTTTTTAAGACTTTAATACATTCTTAAGTGTTTATGTTTATATAACAGAAACAACTTTTTAATAGAAAAAAATATTCTTGAAACGGTTGTTAAACTTGGCTAAAGCTCTTAAAAGGCATTTTGTAGCATCCTACACACTGGATTCCATAACTCAGTTTAATCTTCAGACACCCACTTGTGCCAAGGCAGTGAAACAGAAAATTCTGTTTATCAAAAATAGAGTTTCCTGTTTAAAATGAACACCAGAGATACTGTTTATTAAACGGTATCTATGTCCCACACAAACTGCTATATTGGGTATTTACTAAAACTACCAGTAAACTCCAATATCATTCTCATTTAAAAACGTCAATATTTTTGGTACATGAAAGAATTCCAAACAGTTTGACCTTGCAATGCGAATGCTCTGTATGCCACAGCAGTGGCTTTCAGGGGAGCCACTGAGCAGCTGTCATGTTTCCCAATAGAACAGGGTGTAACATTCTTTTGCTCACCATGTTTATTTAATGGCACACTCTAACTCTCAGGGCATGCAGTCTGCTGAAAACTTCAACCATTATCATTCCCTGCTGTGAACCCTTTGCTATACAGTTTGAAATATTTTTACGCACTGTGATCTCTTAACAATAAACAAATAAAAACACACTATTTTTTGCTATTTGGGTCAAATTAATTTTATTATGCTCCATGATGAATTGCCACCAGTGCAACATCCTATTCACTATACATTTCAAAAAAAATTCACATACTAAACAAAATTTCAGTTTGAAAATGAAATGATTGAAAGTCTTTATGAATCTCATACATACAATATGTGGCTAGCCGAAATTGTCTATCACGTTGCATTTAGATATAAAAAGCCTCATGCTAGTTTGTTAAACGCGAAGGCTACCAGACAATCATTTAGCTGGAGTATATGCGGGAGGCTTTCAGACAATGCACAGGTATAGTGCTGCCCAGAGTGCAAGATGGTGGAGGACTGAAACATGCAACCTTTTATCTTACTTGGTAAAGTGGATTCAGTCTTCCTGCCTGGACTGAATTCCACAGCTGCTGTGTTTCAACCAATAGTAATTTAGACTTTGCGTAACAACAACAAAAAGTCTTCTTTTTCTTTAAGAAAAAAGAATAAACGTAATTACGTTTGGCAAATTACATATTCATCTTATTTAAAATTGTGTTTCTAGCTCAAAGAATTGATATTCTCTTCTCAGAGAGTTCCAGATAAATATTTATATATGAAATTTAGCTGGAAAATCCTGAATTCCTTGGCCAAAAGTTAAAAGAGATCTTAAATTGGCATTACCTTAAAGACATCTCTAGAAAATTTAAAATTTTTTATGTCGGGAAAAAAAAGAAAATGTTTAACATTATTTAAAATAATTATAATGTTCCATTTATCATTTACACAAATTCCTAATTTTATTGGTTAGTAGTTGTTCAGCCTCATCCACACCAGACTCACTGAGCTCAAGCCACAGTAAAAATGATAGTAAGCAGAAAAAGGTTTCTAGCAGCAGAGGGCACTGTTTTTGCAAGAAACAAAAAGTCTAGAATCTTTCCCATGTGCTTAAATTACTCTTGCAAGGAAGGTAACATTCTTTGAATAACTTAACTATTTTACTGCACCACTTACTGCTTTCAGCAATAAAACCTTTTAAATTATTTCTTATGATAACTAGATGCATGATCACTAGAGATTATGTGATAACTGGTTAAAATTCAAGCCACATCTTGCAGGTCCAGCCTGTCAAGATCATGCCAATACTAGATTTTGGTCGGTACAATTCTAGATAGCATAATTTTTAGTTGGATATTGTGACTATAGTAATGAAATACATCTGGAACTACATTCTGTATATGACTCAATGTGAGAAAAATATGTCTGTATTTAAATCAGATAATTTTCTACCTAAAATTTAAAGTAGGTAGGTGTGATAATTAGCACTATAAATATGAAACAACCACCTTTAGGCAGATTAGTGTACTGTAGAGAGGCAAGGAAACCCTAATTTTAACACACCGTTTAGTATGCATAACAAATGTGCAGGTTGTAAAATTTATTTTTAAAAATCTATCACTCAGTTATGTGTTCCAAAAAAATTTGACATTGGGACCACCAATCTTTTAAGAAAAATGTAACCCATCACATCATACTTGACAAAAACCTTGAGAAATTATCAAAATAAAAATTATGGCATGTTAGGTTCAGCGTTAGCATGAACCTAACATTGGCAATGGCATTTCTTTGCCAACTAGATTAACCTCAAACCATACAAACTGCAAAATAAAAATACTTAAATTCCACATGATTTCAATAATGTTCTGATTTGTAAAGCATTTTTAACCAAATATTGGTATAACCATAAATGTATACCCTTTTCAGTTCATGTAAAACGAAACTACTCCCCAAGCGCCCTAAACTCCAACTTAAATATTAACTTTTCTATTTCAAAATAATACCAAAAATATTTTTAGAATTTTTGTCAAAAAGAGCCTACCACATTTGCTATAGCATAAAAATAACCTCCATCACGAATAGGTATATAGGGTTCCTTATGAATCCAGCCTGCACATACCACTCCTGTACCAATAACAGGCAGTATTGCTATAAGAGGTGTGTTACTGATTTTCTCCACTAGTATCTCTGTAGTGATTTTATGTAGAGCATATTGCTAAAATTTGAGAAACTGCATCAGTGTAGTGATGTCTAAAGAACTGTGCAATCTGTCAGCTTCAACATTCATATGTAGCTTTGTATTCAAAATGAAGGGGCTAAAGAAACTAAGGTTTGCATCACTTAAAAAAGAACGTAGTGCTATACTAGATTTTTATAAGAAAATTTAGGTACAGAAAAAGTAGGGTATGAAAATAGTGTTTTCCTTCTGGCATTATAACTAAATTACATTAAGGTTTTTGTCAGTCTCACATATAGTATTTAAACTCCCTTGTTGATGGAATGAAAAATATTCACAAGTCAAGTGAGCATTGTGGTGTAAACTTGCACACAATAACAGGGAGTAGCTTTGTAGAGGATTATGACAAACCTTTACAGATTAAATGAGGTATTGCACAGATTAATAAAAAAAAAGCAAAAAAGGCAACAAAAATATACAGCAAATTGGTAGAACATTTACATGATAATTTTACAGAACCCATAGACAGAAAGTAGTGTTTAGTATTTCACCTTAAAAATATATATATAATATATAGATCAGTCTTCCCATTCATCATCGTCCTCAAAATCTTCTTCATCATCTTCATCTTCATCTTCATCTAGAAAAAAATCATCAAGACAATTAAAATATATTCATAAATAAAATGACATTAGATAATTCTTGAGTGAGTTCTCCTATTAACTCCTAAAAGACAAACTGTTTGATTCTTGGAGGACTCTGATTACTAAAACAGCTTAAAATAAATTTTATAACATACATCTAAAGAACTATACACACACACACACACACACACACACACACACACACACACATATATAAAATTCTATACAAAGGGTTATTTGAAACCAATCCATGGCAATACTGGTACTTGAAACACTGTGAAGTGAATACAACATTGAACAGTTACAAATCTGGGACAGTCCATTCTATGAAAGTGCTGAAATTAAATTAAAATCAGTCTTACATGAAGTATGTTCCAACTCACATATATACATGGGAACTTGACTCATCTGGCTAAAGAGTGCTAGATGATATAAAAATGCATTACTGTTTAAACCAGGGGTCCTCAAACTTTTTAAACAGGGGGCTAGTTCACTGTCCCTCAGACTGTTAGAGGGCCGGACTATAGTTTAAAAAAAACTATGAACAAATTCCTATGCACACTGCACATATCTTACTTTGAAGTAAAAAAACAAACGGGTAAAAACACCCGCATGTGGCCTGTGGGCTGTAGTTTGAAGATGCCTGTTTTAAACAATGTAATCTCAAATTTAAAGACTGCTCCAGATAGCCTGCATCTGCGATGGAATAACTGACAAATCACAAGTGGTTTACTTGGGGAGGGCTTTGATCATTCAAAAGTAAAGTGAAGATTAAGATAGGAGTCAAAACATTTGGGTCTTTTTGCCTTAGTATCTACCAAACAAATTTCAACCTGTATGTCTGTTAATGTGTTAATCACATCTGGGTTCTCCTATCTGAATTTCAGACTTGCCTATCATGAAACCAACTGCCTTGTATCCTTCATGTGGATTCTCAAACTCAAAACTTCGTAAGTTTTATCTCCTTCTTCAACTTTCTTCTCCCCCTCCACCCTAGTCTGCTCCTTCTCAATAAATGGCATCCTCTCAGGTGATAGGCCAAAAACCTAGAAATTATAATTGCTTCCTCTTGTTTCACTATCCAGTCATCAGGTCTGCTCCTCCTCATCACTTTTACTGCTATTCCTCATACCACCATCATACTCTACTTGGATTATTGCAACTCTATAGTCTACTTACCTCACAGCAAATAGAATGATAACATTTAAATTCTAAGATTTAAAAATATGTTGCTACCTTTCTTAATGTTCTCCTGTGGCTGACCACTGCTATTTGAATAAAAGCTGATGTTACCTCACTCTACAAGACCCTATGTGATTTGTCCAGTTACTCTCTCCTCCTCTCCCAAGTTTTTCTCATAATGCTCGCTCCTTCAATTCACTATTTCTGGTAAATGGCCTCTTTTCGTCCCTCAAACTTTCCAAGCTTACTCTTGCTTCAGAGCTTTAGCAGTAGCAATTTCTTCTGTTTGGCTGAGTCTTTTCATCATTTAGGTGCCACAAAAAACACCTCCTCTTCTTTCCTCACCATCCTATACATAAAGTATGTCCCTTCCTCACAATCAGTAACTGTCTATTCCATTTTATTTTCCTCATAACCCTCACCACTACCTGAAATTTTTCTATTTAACTTGTGGATCAATAGTCTTCATACTAGAATATAAGCTCCATGACAGCAAGGATTTTGCCTGTCTCATTTATCATTGTGTTCTCAATACCAGAACAGTGCTGCACAGAAGCTATTCAATAAATGTTTGTTCAATGAATGAATAAAAATTCAGATGTCATCAAATTCTATGAGCACACTTCTACTTTATATCAACTTTCCATAATTACTAACCTCTTAAATATATATACTTCATAAAAGCCATAAAAGGCCAAGTTTGTACAGAGAGATAGTGGCTAAGCAACTGCACTTGACAATGATAAAGAGCCCATAACATCTGAGTGATATTACGTGTGGGCTAGATGTTCATTTTCCCCATATAAAATAGATTGTTTGAAGGTTTTTATAAAATTCTTATAAAGTACTTGAGTGCTAGTATTAGAACTTGAAAATTAACAGAAGCCAGATAACTTGCCTTGGCACCCAACTAAGTTATTACAACAATAATAGTTACTTTTTACTTATTTAAATCTGGTGGTGAGCTCTAAATTGTTACAGAATTTATTTGGAAAGAAGTTCTATTGACTTTGTGTTAACTTTTATGTTTACTTTACTAGTAAGGGAAATAATACCCAACCCCAAAGTTACTAGACATGCTTCACAAAATTACCTGGATGAAAAGCATCCAGTATACCCAACTATGCTGCCATTTGCAAAGTGACAAAAATAGGAATTTATCAGCATCCATGGTGAAGAGAAGTAGCTAATAATTCCATGATCAGGTACTACCATAGGAATAATAGTTAAAAGAAATGGGACCAGAAATAAGTAAAAAGCATGCTATTTATTCATTACATCATCATGACTATTATATAATATTAATTATATCTTAAAAAAAAACCTCACTGTAGGGAAGTATTTAGCAGAACCCACAGACATCAGAACACAATAAATGCTTCCTCATGATCATATATTTTATAGAAACCTTACATTTCTTCTAGACAGAATGAGGATCTTTTCTTTATCTCTGATATTAGCAGCTATCAAGATTCTTCTTGAGCATTTTCCATATCTGAAGTTATCTTTTCCTATTCAGCCTAAACTTCTTGGTGTTTAGTTACCTGAGTTTACTCTCAACAGTCTTAATTCTAAGAATTCTTAATTCTTGCCATCTCAAACTTTTGCCATAAGGCTCCTCCGTGCCAGTCGCTGTATGCATTCAATGACACATTGATGAAGGACCTATTTTTCCTGCCTTCAAGTGTCTTCAGTGGTATGGAGACAAATGTACAAACATAAGCTGAGACTTAATACTGATGTCAAATTATTGCTGCATGTTATCTGACACCTACCCTGAGGATAAAGGTGGAGTGAGAAAATGGCCTATAAACAATTTTCAATTTAAGTAGCCATATTTTTAATAGCATTTTCAGTATCAATTGTGATGTCTTTAAAGTTTAGTTAACTTTTTAGCATGAATCAGGTCAGAAAGTCACATTTTTCACAGGAAAATTTGGCCATCTGCTAATAAAAATAATGTAAACCAGCAGATAAATGTGTTCTAAATAAATATTTAGAATAATAAAACAAACCTAGGAAAACAAAGCCCTCTTTAATGACTGTTTCTAAAGAAAAGGTGTCAAAAATACAACTGACAAGTAGTTCTGCTACCAATTCTAGTGATGGGCAGAAACCTTGTCAAAACTAAGCCATAAAGGAAATAAAGTAGGTGGTCCCAATAATCACAGTCTCTCTTTCTACCCTTCTAATTAAAGCTCAATTCCCTGTCCTCATCTTTGATTTATCAGAAGCATTTGAACTTCTGATGATCACCCTATTTTCCTTTAAACTTCTTTACTTGGCTTCTAGATACCACTATCCAACCCCCAGATCTTATTAGACTTCTCTTTTCTATCTAAATCCACTTCTTTGATCTCATCCAGTTCCACAACTTCAAATACATACCATCTATGTATATCTTATTGACATGCAAATTTATATTAACAGTTCAGACCTTTCCTGTGAATTCCAGACTCCTAACCAAATGCCTACTCAACATCTACATTTGAATTTTTAATAAGTATCTCAAATTTAGTATGTACAAAACAAAATTCCTAATTTTTCCTCTCAGACTTTCTGAGAGGAGAAAGTTAGTGACAGTCATAAAACAAAAATAATAGAGTATCAAACAAATTTATTAAACAAATAAATCACACACACACACATACACACACAAATACCTGAAGAATGAATGGCTTTGCTCCTTTTCTGCATCACTTCCATTAATGCACCCACAATTCCTGAAGTGGGTGCAGGTGTCGGTGGTGTAGACTCTTGGCCATCAGATACCTTGGAAAAGAAAGTTAGCAAAACTCAATAAAAAATCCTTAGTAAAGAATCTTTGTTTCAAGAAAGTCTTACTATCTTAGAATCACTTATTATCTTAAAAGAAAATTAAAAAGAATCAAGCCCAAGACTGGATTAAATAAATTAAAGAGAAATAAATTGCTGTCTTAAAAGAATTACTCAAGAAATATTTCCTCTTCTTCTTAGTCTATAAGCCATTGATACATTTCCAAATCAATATTTATATTTAGATTAACAATTCAATCCTTGCCTAAATGATACTTGCCCTTGCAGCTAAGTTATTTCTGTTCATTCCAGCATACAAAGCTTTAAATGATAAACTTTAAAAACTATTACCAAAGGGCATATTTTATAAACCTAGGGTAATATTTACATTCCTAGAGTTGTTAAGTGGGATGCCTATTTAAGATATCTAAGAGCAACCATAGAAACTTACGTTCTCCTAGAAAATTCAGCTCTATGTGTTTATGTTATATTTATACCTCATATAATTTAAAGTTGTACCTAATAAGTATATATTGTAATTCAAAATGAACCTCCCTTCTCATAGTGTATAACTTTTGAGATCAGTTGAGAAGCTTTCAAAATGTATTTTCCTCATAAGGCAACTATCCCTAACTGAAGTAAATCCATCTAGTCCAAACTACATTCAGAAAACATAGACTCTCATTAAAATCTAATTTCTCAGGACAATAGTCCATACAAAATTATCTCTTGCTTCCAACATTCATACTAAAAAAGAGAGAATACAGGAAACCTATAGATGTTTTCCCTGTTTTTTTTTTCCAGGGGAAAAAAAATACAATTTAGAAAGTACTGCTGCTCTAAGTGGACTTTGACCAGAATGAGCAGTTGTTTTTACATGTTCATTTTGTGAATTTTGTCTATGGACTTTTATTATCCATGTAAAGGTATAATTGTGTGTGTGTGTGTATGTGTGTGTGTGTGTGTGCATGTGTGCACGCTTGTGTGAGTTACTTATTTCAATAATTAAAGGTATAATTAAAGATAAAATAGCATAGCTGTACCAAATAATTACCTAAGTTTTTAAATGTATATTTTTATTTATTTGAAATTCTAAATCATTTCCCACAAAAAATTATTTTATTAAAATAAACTTTTTTAATTTTTTAATTTATTTTTTTTTATTGAGACAAACTTTTTTATTAAGACAAACCGCATTTTGTCTTTACAACTCTTCTCCTAATACTACTTGTTCTTTCTGGACTTAAGACCTTTATTTTTCTTTTTTTAAGAAAAAGTAGCTCCCCAGAAAATACAAACTCATTCATTAGTATTTATGCTTCAGGGACTGTATATTAACTGTTACCAATATAGAAATGCCACAAATGAAAAAGATAACACAAATAGTTTCAGAGCTTTGTATTTCTGTATAAGGCTCTCAAAGAAGTATAAAAGCAACCAGGACATTTAGATTACCTTTAAGCAATCTGATAATATAAAGGAGATAATACAAAGTAAAAACACACATTAACAAACACATTTTTTTAAGTACTTACAAGGTGTACTTGTCCAAGTACTTTGAAGTACTATGAACACTTCAATTATTCAAATTCAAAATAGGTGAGTACTTACATACCCTCCTGCTAGCTCTTTAAAGTAAATCTATGTTTTATGTTCTTCATATTCATCACAGAATGGATAATTTAGACAGCATATTTAAAGAAACACAGCCAGAGAAATTTCAACCACAGAATGATTATTTTTTTGAAACATAAAATTGTGGACTCAGATCACATGTATAACATGCCAATAATGTACTGATTATGCATTCTATGATAATACACTGAATGCAATCAGAAGGAAAGTGATGACGATGATAATGATTCTGAGATAGTGTCTTGCTCTGTTGCCCAGGCTGGAGTGCAGTGGCACAATCATAGCTCAATGCAATCTCGAACTCCTGGACTCAAGTAATCCTCCCCTCTCAGCCTCCCAAGTACAGGGGAATATACCACATCCAGTTATTTTTTTTTTTTATTTTTGTAGAGATAGAGGCTTGCTACATTGCCCAGGCTAGTCTTGAACTCCTGGCCTCAAGCAGTCCTCCCACAGCATTGAGATTATAGGTGTGAGCCAATGTGCCTGGCTGGGAAAGTGATCATCTAGGATAAAAATGGCCTACTATTCTACACTTAGAACGGGAAATATTTTTCTCTCTAAAAGAAATTTAGAGAGCAACTGATAGGGTTGGTTTTCTTTTTTTTTTCTTGGTGGGGGGTAGGAGGGGTGGGTTGAGATGGGAAGAAATGATGGTGAGAGTAAATAGAAAATTTAACTCACCAACTTTTTAAATTAAGAAAAGAGGATTCAACTTTATTCATTAAAAATAAAATATCACCTTATTATAGCTAAATGAGAGGAAAAAAACCCAAAAGCTTGTAAAAAGGAAATAGAAAAGGAAAAGCAAAAAGGTAGATTAGGAGTGGGAGATATGGGAATGAGAATGACACAGGAGCTAGCAATGATTCCAAGGCAAAAGCTGACAGTAAATGACCTTATGAAAACCTGCTATTCACCTAAGTTGTGATCATTTTGACATTAATTCTCCCCACTAACCACTCTTTAAAGTTCTTCAACCCATCCTGGGAAACCTTCAGTCTGAACTAAATGGCAAAAGGGAGCAAAAATGATTGCCATTCTGAATACATGTAAAGAAAAGATCTAGACGTACTTTAAAGTTCAAATACTTCTTAAATCTATGCTATGCTAAGTTTAAATGTTTTCATTCAATTAATTGTTTCCTATTCATCACTCTCCTCCTAGCCAATGTGTCTCAGATCTAGAAAGTTACTTTAATTCCTTAACATTGTGAAATAATTTCAGTTAAAATATCCTTCTGTTATCTTCATTCTTCTCACAGAAAAATCTACCATCCATTACCTACCTTAAGTCCTGTAGAACACATTACATATAAAGGCTCAGAAGAAAGTATGTAAATGTAGACAGGTTAGGCTCTATGATAGGAGTCAGCAAACTATAGTCCATGGGCCAAATCTAGCCTGTCCTCTGGATTTTTGTTTTTTTCCCCCTGGTTTGTTTGTTTACAACTTAAAAGCTAAGGATGGTTTTTACATTTTTAAATGGTTAAAACAAAAAACCAAAAGAAAAATATTTGTGATGTAAAATTATATGAAATTCAATTTCAGTGTCCAAAAGTAAGTTTTATAGAACATAATCATGCCTATCCATTTAGGTACTGTCTGTGGTTGCTTTTGTGGCGTAACAGTAGAGTTGAGCAGTTGTGACAAGAGACTATAAGCCTAAATAAAATATTTAATACCTGATCCTTTATAGAAAAAAATTTTCTAACCTCTAGAAGATTAAATGATCATCTCACCCAATTCAGATAATCCTAAATTATCTGCCATTACTGTCAGAAATTCTATTAGAACTCTTTCAATTTTCTGAGTCTGATTCTCTACTAATCCAAATTTCAAAACATGGACACTTTAGAATATGATTTAGTTTTCATAAAGTTACTAGTCTGGATTTACCAAAGTGATGGTAGTTGGTATCAAGTAGAGGTATTTTTTTTATTTAATTTTTTAATATATTTTTTTACATTTTTTTCCTCTTTATTTTTTTTCCCATTGGATGCCAAGTTCTAAAGTAGGGCTATTTTTAATTTCCCATAGTTTAATAAGAATTTTTCTTTAAATTAAAGTACCTTTCATTTAAAAGTAAAGTCTAGAACAATGAATTGTAAAATTATATGAAATTCTAGAATAGATAAAACTGATCTATGGCGATTAGATCAGTGATTGTTTTTGGAAGAACTGAGAAAAGGCCTGAGGGAACATTCTGAGGTGACAGAAATGATGTATATTTTAGGTATGGGTTACACAGTTACAGATAATTATCAAAACTGAATTAAAAGTTTGTGCATTTTTACTGTACATAAAAATATTAACATATCCATAGGGTTAAAAAGCTAAATAGCAAGAGAAAAAAAACAAAAGAATAAACCTTTCAAAATGTCTTATAAATTACTTTAAAATACCATTATGACAGATGATCTAAAATGAAAAGAACAGATTACTTACAGATTTTAGTTGAATACCCTGTCGTATCTGGTCTAAAAGCGCATCCCGTCCAGAGCAGGACACTGGTCGACTGTTCTGTTCCACTTTTTTTAGTTGAGCACCCTCTCTAATTTGATCTAAAAGAGCTGCTTTGCTTCCTGCAGGAGTTGGAACTTGATGGTCCCCATCAGAAGGGAGGCCAGGAGGAGGCGGCGGCCCAGGTGGAGGAGGAGGTGGAGGCGGTGGGGGTGGTGCCACTGACCCTGCCACTGATAGAGGTGGAGGTGGTGGTGGAGGCCCTGAAGGTGCTGAGGAGGGAAGAGCTGGAGGTGGAGGAGGGTACATCCTATTTGGCGGCGGTGGAGGGACTCCTCCACCAGGCCTGGAAGGAGGCGGTGGTGGAGGTGCAGCTGTGGGAGCTCTTGAGGGTGGTGGGGGAGGAGCACCTCTTCCTCTGGCAGGAGGCGGAGGAGGCCCTGAGCTATGTGGAGGGGGAGGAGGAGGAGGAGGCCCTCCCCTTGACGGTGGTGGAGGTGGTGGTGCTGAAATGAAAACAGAAAAAAGGAAAAGCATGCTTTTTTCCCCCCATAATCATCATATTGAAAAGCAACTCACTTTAACAAGTATGAAAATGAAATAATACCAAGAAAAAAGGGCCTCATCTTTGCATTTACTTTTCAATTTTATTTGGGAATTCTCAGCTTAAAGATCACCTTTCTTTTGTCTCTTGAAAAATATTGGCTACAACAACAGAATTTAGTTTTTAGGAATCAGAACCAGTTCTGAAGGTAAGGAAGAATAAACCCTTTTCTACTTTATATAATAATAACAAAATCATATCAATGAAACTAAACACTCTGATTAATAAGCATTACTTTACATTTTAATAAAAATTAATGAATACTTTCCCTATTTAAAGAATCAAGTATATACAGGTTTTTTTTAAACAAAATTCACATTCAGAACTATATAGTGTGGCATAACATATTAGAATTTATTAACATTAATTTGAGCTAAAACCCAAATACAATGCTTTTCTTTTAAAATGTAAGCCTTTGTCATCTAATTTATATTTGTACTTTTATTTTACAGTATAATGTCATATATTTCTAAAAGATAGCCTACAATTCTAGTTATGGCATTATGAGAGGTTGGCTGCCTACCTGAAATGTTCAATCACTTATTCAGGAGATATGAACTGATTATTAACTGAGAACTTCTATGAAGTATAAAATTAAAGTTATTAATAAAAAATTACCATTATTCTAGTAGTAATGATATTTGTATTCTTATTCAACAAGTGAAAATGTAAGATATAATAGTAAATCAAACTCAAAGTAGACCAACATTAAACTATATTGGAGAATATGACTAAAACATTAAAATACTAAAATTTATTATATTTCATGGTTTTACTAACAGTATATACAAACTCATGTAATACAATACTTCATTATTTCTCCATTCATTTAAAAAACAGAAAAATTAATATTTTTAGGAGTAGAGAAATCCTAGAATCCATAACAGCTATTTGTATTTACTGATACAAAGTATAATATGATATCCATGGATAGTCCTACCCAACCTATTCAACTATAAATATCTATCTTAATTACAAAGAACATCTGCTCAATAATGCAACAACACAAGAGAGGAAAAAACTCCTCACTTCAAAGGGAATAAAATAGTGTCTTATGATTTCACCTATGACGAACATGGGAATCATGCTAGAAAAATTTATCAAATGTAATTATATGCATTGGATGAAACATGCAGAAAAGCTAATACTCACATAGCTATTGTATCCTGGTATATAAAATTTTCAAACTGGAAACCATATAAAGCTGAAAGCAGGAGAGTTTTCCCACTAAAACATAGGCTACTGCAGTGGCATGCTCCTATGATATACTCCAAAGGTACAGTGGAAGTCTGGGTGTTGCAACTGAAATTCACCCAATTTTATAAATGGACTCACAAGAAGGAGACTTAAAACTAGCTATAAACAAACTCCTTTTCTAAGATATTTTGCAATCAAAGAGGAAAAAGGGATGATATGACATATATGTATTATGTATACTCCCTAAATGATATGGTCTATTAAAGCTTTCAAGCATATACAAAATTTCATTTTAATAAGTTTTAGTTTTGTATTTCAAATATCAATGATATTTGTCTAGACTGACATTTTTATGATTTGATCATGTTATTCAAGAGGAAAAGGAGTCAGCCTATCCTATTTCACATGGTATTTAGATAATCATTTCTTGGGGTTTCACTAAGAACTTTGGATTCATCATTTTTTGTATGAGTTTTACATATAAAAAACTAATGTTCTCTTGAGCTTGCAGTAAGTAAATTTATTGAATTAATTTGTATTTTCACTAACACCATTCAAATAACACTAAATCTTTGCTCAAGAAAAGGAAAAGCCTTAATTTATAATGAATAAATTATCAGCTGCATCCAGTTTGAGTGTAGCACAAGTTCAGGGTTTCTATTATCTTGAAAAGTGACAGCAAATGTCTTTGTATTTTCTTGAGGAAATGATCTATTACCAACTTTCAATTTTTACAGTCTACATTATAAGTACACTAAAAAGAAAGTATGCAAAAGATATGCTATATCCCAAGGTAAAAATGTGAATGAATTAAAACAGGAGAGGAAAGGACAGATGTAATGATGTTAATTAGGTTTACATGCACAAAAATGTCTGCTAGGCAGACACCACACACCACTATGAGAAAGTCTGTAGTCTACAGACTTCTCATAGTCTATTTTCAAAACGAATAAGTCACCACAAACACCAGAATCAGAATTACAATAGTATTTTTTAGATTTTTAAAAAACAAAGTAAAAAGCATGAAACAAAAGTTATAATAAAAGCTGCTATTATCAAAGTTTAGTTAAAAGGAGGAAAGAATGGAGCTTATAGAAAAAAGCCTTTCTTGATGGCATACTATTAAAAAAGGTTGATATACTTAAAAATAAGTATTATTTCAGATCAATATTAATATTAAGAGTACTGGTATATATGAAATAACTCTCTAGAAAGTTACAGGAATTATAAGAAGAAATTATAAAATAACATTAACTTATACTTTAAAAAATGCAGTATTACAGAATTCAAGAAACATTAAAGAACTACTCTCATGTACTCTCTCATCAAGATAAAACAAACAGAAAAATTTTACTTGACACAAATTAAAATTTATGGAAATACAGGCAACTCCCTGAATAGCCATGTGTAGAACTGCGTGTTTACTTACGTTAAGTTCCCCCCTCCCCAACCCAAATTAATGTATAAATGTAAACTTATTTTATACAGGTTACCGAAAAAATGTCAAGTGTCAAAAGCAATCACTAAAAATAATAAATATAATTAGTATTAATCAAAACAACAGAGGTGCTGTGGGCAAAAAGAGTTGTTTTTTTTTTTAATCCACAAAATTTCAATGAAATTCTCTAAATTACAAAGTTTAAGCTCTGGCTCATATAAAAATTAGTTTTCTTTTATTTTAGCATCTATATGCCCAAAACATTAGTTTAAGTGCAGGGTACAAAACCTCACTGGAAGTTAGATTTGGAGGCAGGATATAGTTGGATATAGTTGGAGGCAGGATATAGTTTGGAGGCAGGAGCTTTAGTTGCTTTGAAAATCAACATATCACAGCATGCACAATTTAGAGCACTGGGTCAAATAATGTCTAACATACATACCACTCCATTGTGGTGGACCTACAGAACAGATCACTATGAGTTAATGGACTTCAAACAATGTCACGCACACAAAAAGAAATGTTGAAAATCACAAGTCTATTACCTTTTTATACGCCTGATCACGTGATTTTACAAAGTAAGTGTCAAGAGATTTGACTCAGTAGGTTTTATAAAGCCATTTCTAAAACAACTTCATCAACTTCTCCCTTTCTAATTTATTTTTTCATAGTTTAGTATTAATTTACATTATGTGCTCTGCCTGGGAAACATTTCCTTAACAAATTGTTAATTTACCTTTCTACTAATCCTTTTTTTAAAAAATTGTCTTATGAAAAATCATTCTTTGGCATCTAAAAGGTTCCATACTAAGAGTTAGGTTCTTGAATACAGTAATAATTTTTCAGACCTTATCCTTTGTTCCCAAAGTATGTTTTTTAATACCTGTGTCTTTTTTGGCTTGTTTTAGGTAATTCAACTAAGGAAAGACCTTGCCTAATTTAATGTTTTAAAAACAGGTAAAACAAAAAGCAATAATAATAAAGTTATAATGAGTGAGATGTGCACCATCTGGGGGATGGTCATGCTGGAGACTCAGACTTGCGGGGGGAAGGGAGGAATGGGCATTTATTGAAACCTTAAAATCTGTACCCCCATAATATGCTGAAATAAAAAAAAAATAAAAATAAAAATAAAAACTAATCAAGTTAATATGGTCAACTCTTAGTTTATTCAGGTGACAGGGCAGCAGTATGCATGGTCCAATAATGTTCAAGAGTAATTTATAAACTTATAAATTCAGAAAGCTGAGAGACCCTGAGCACCTTAAACCTGGTAGTATAAGGTGTAGGGAGGTGTAACAGTGGAGAAAAAGAAAGTCAAGGAACACAGAAAAGTTCTCAAGACCTGCTATCATCTACACCCTAACAGTAAGTATGATGGCCTGGGAACATTTAGAAACAATGGTACTACTGCGCCCAAGGTGTGTTTTTAAAAAATCCACAGAATTTGGAAATGCAATTTTTTGCAAAGTAAAAATAAATTAGCATCATGCTAGTTTCCAAAGAACTGTGTATCCACAATAGTAATTATGACATTATATTTGCTTTACATATCTGTTTCCATGCTAGACTATAAAATTTCTGAAGGCAGAAACCTTATCTTTACATTTAAATATCCTGAGACTGGTGCTGGCATTATAATGTTTACTGAATATGGGAATAAGTGAATGAATGAATCAATCAATCAAAGACTGACTGAACACTGGCAGTGAAATAGACAGGCAAGCCAAATATCTAATTTAAAATGACAGTTAAAATCTTCAGAAGAATGCTTTAACTGAAAGTTTTACTCTGCCACACTTCGTATTATGAGTATGCAAAATCTAGGAACAAGAAAAGAAAGGAATCCCAAATTAAAAGGTGGCAAAGGCATGACTATTATTAGAAAACTGAGTTATTTTATCTGCATTGTAATATGATAATTGTTAAGACACAACTAAAATGCAAGGTGCTTTAATAAATTATCAGATCTTAAAAGGTTGCAAATTGTGCTCTCAGGTACTAAAAAGAAATTTTAGACTTTATCCAAGAAAAACAATTTGTATTTCAAAATTAACAGAAAGTTACAGTATTTATATTAGGAAAATGTTTGCATTACTAATTACAGAGTGATTATATTTAAATTGTTACTTCTGAATTATAATAAAAATTTAATGGTGGTTTCTAGGATTCATTAAGTAAAACATTTAGACAACTATAATTTCTTATTCTAAAATAGTATATCTGGAAGATTTTGTATGAATTTTCATGAATTTAATAAAAGAATTTTTAATAATAAAACAAAACCTTGCCAAGTTTTTTTAGTTATATGAAAATAATGTAAGACATAGTATGATGGGCCATATAACATGTCCATAAATTCAAACATTCTGCTCAAAGAAAGGTTCATGTGAATATATGTAGCTATCTTCCATTAAACTGACCTCAAAAGATTTAAAAGAAAAACAGACCAAAATGCCTAAATAAAAATAAGTTACCTTGCCTTCGTAGTTCATTTTTAACAGCTTCAACACCTCCTGTTTTTTCAATAAAGTCATATATAACTTTTGATGTTTCTCTGTCTTTAAGTTGTGCCTCTGAGATTCCACACATATCAAAAAGATTCTTCAATTCTGGATCCAAATTATTCAGCTACAACAGATAAAATAACTGCTAACTATAAAAAAATCTATCCCAATTTTCTAAAAATAAGCATGATAAAAATTAATTCTCAGCTATATCTTATGAAATTATTTTAAGTTTATAAACCTTTAACATGGCTATATTATTTATGTGCTAACTAAACTTTCTCATTAAAAAACTGAACAGATAAAAAGAATAGATTTTCTATTTTATCCTATTTCTTTTTCATTTCCTGTCTTCAGAAAGAGGACATTTCATTGAAATTTCTCCTAACCTATTCATGATTTAGACATCTCCAATGCTTACTTATTTCAGCTTGTCCTAAATAAGTTTATGCATAATCATGAAAAAACACACAAAAAGTAAATCGATTAGAAAATCTGAGGGCAAGGACCTCCCTATAATCCCAAGCACTTTGTACAGTGCCTAACAAAATGGCACTCAATATGTTTGTGGAATTAAAAGTGCAGTTATAATAAAAATAACCCAAAGAATTTTTGACCCCAATCAAAATAATATTTCTCTTCAAAACAGTTTAGCCAAACCCTGATTTTTACCAGCAGTTTCACCTACCTTGCTCATAGTGCTAAAAAATAATAAATGAAATTGCCAAAAAGGATAGGAGAATGAACAGATCTAGATAATTCAACAACTGAATATTCAGAATTTGATTATACTACTTTCCAGTAATTTGGTATATATTCCCCCCAAATTATCACTTGGCAGACATGACTTTCTTCCCTTGACTTTCAAAGCATAAGGATTTTTACTTATATAGTATGTAAAGCCAAGGGATTCAAAAAATTTGTCTTTAGAGACTTAGCCATGAGTAATACTATGGTTTCGAACTTCAGTGGTATACATACCTAAAACACAAGTACATTCATATAGACTCTAAAATCCATAAAAATGAATAAATATAAAAATTTAAAGATAGGTTAAAACATTCCCACATATTTCGAGTAATAATATACATGGCTTGAAAATATACTTACATCAAAGCCTGTATTTGGATCCCAACCAACATGTCCAATGTGCCTAAAAGAGAAAATAGAAAAATACGGAAAAATAAAATAATGGGCATTAAAACCATAACATATGTGAAATCCAATAAACATTTGGCTTTGAATTTTTAACTGGAACTAATAGTTTTCATAGACATAACCATATTCTAGGAAAAACTATATACAAGGAGTCAGGAGACCAGGATTCCAGGCCTGGCTCTGCTACTAATGCAATCTAAACATTTTTGTGTACTCTCTCTGAACATCTATTTCCTTAAAAGTCAAATTAGAAGAAGAATACAAATATTTTATATTTGAAAGGATAGGAGTTTTATAATGAGCTAATAAAATGATGCTTGAAATATGTTATATAAATACTAAAGGTTTTTTTTTTTTTGTTTTTTTTTTTTGAGACAGAGTCTCACTTTGTTGTCCAGGCTAGAGTGAGTACCGTGGCGTCAGCCTAGCTCACAGCAACCTCAATCTCCTGGGCTTGAGTGATCCTTCTGCCTCAGCCTCCCGAGTAGCTGGGACTACAGGCATGCGCCACCATGCCCGGCTAATTTTTTTTTTTTATATATATATATCAGTTGGCCAATTAATTTCTTTCTATTTATAGTAGAGACGGGGTCTCGCTCCTGCTCAGGCTGGTTTTGAACTTCTGACCTTGAGCAATCCGCCCGCCTCGGCCTCCCAAGAGCTAGGATTACAGGCGTGAGCCACAGCGCCCGGCCAATACTAAAGGTTTTTACTGCCTCTAGGCAATTTCCAAATATTATTTATAAATTGAAGAAATCATTTTTGCCCAATAATTAGTTGAAGAAACAACTTTAATTTTTCTCTTCTGATGGGTAGAAGAGTAAATAAAATGTAAGATTAAAAGAACATCTACTGAGCCATTTCCCTTTTTAAAAATAACCAAAAACTCTAACAAAGTCCACGGTTAAAAATATATACAAGTGATGAATGTAAGCACCCTCCCAAAAAGAAAACAAAATAAATTTTCTAACAAGTCAAGAGCAGCAACGAATACATCAAAAGTAAAGATAAGAACAACAAAAGAACTGTCTCACTGGAAATTGCTTGGTGTTCCAATATCTGCCTTGGTTAATCTCTTCTTTTTAGCTTTTCCTTTCTTCTTTTCTTTGGTATGAGAGATGTTGTTGACTTGTGGACTGTAAAATCTATTTGTTGTGATTTCTGGATTTTTTATGTCAACTGTAGCCATGGGCAGATTAGGACCTACAAATAAAGCCACAGTAAGTTTAATTTAAACCTAAACTTTGTTTGTAAATAATAAAGTATTGCCTGAATTTCAAAAACCTCTAATAAATTCTTAAACACACTAGCATAAATGCATTATTTCAAAGCAAACTTGTATTTTTATAACATTAAATCTCATAAAGAATATGAACTTTCAACTACAATTTCCATTTCATTGGTCTGATCTCTTAAATTTTAACTATAATAGACTCATACTCAACACAGTGCTCATTGGTCAAGTGTATATATCATACAACAATAAGGATAAGAAAGTATTAATAAAAGAAGCATCTACTTTGTTTTAAATTTAACAAAAAAATCTAGTCCTAATTCTGTTTCAACTATTAGTCCATGAGGAAAAAGTACTTAGAAAATTTTTACTACCATTTTCCCCAAAATTGTCATATTTAAGTCCAGTAATATTTTTCACATCAGTACAAATAAACCCTGACTATGAGAAGTACAGAGTTTTTTAAGTTCAAAAACTTAAAATGGAAAAATTATTAAAACATTCACCTTCTGCAAGGATCAATAGTAAAAATATCTCAGGCACTTTCAGCTAATATCAATAAATAGCATCTTCAGAAGTGACACTAAATGTAGCACAAAACTTGTCTTATAAATCACAGAAATATTCTTGATCTTAAAAGCATGAAAGTCTGAATGCAAAGTATTCAACTTAAAACTCTTATAAATTTAACTAAAGGACAACACATGTTCCTTAGAGACCCCATTTTAATATTATGATTCTCTGAAAAAAACTCCTATCAGATCAAATTCCTCTGAGGTGATTACATTAATGACAACTTTCAAAATTTATAAAATATTGATACTATTATTAAGAGTTAACACACAGCAAGCTTAAGATTGTTCTTCTTAGACCTACTTGCAAGGTTGGTCCTTAGCTGGTATCTGGGAACTTGGATTTCAAAGGGTTCCTACCATTCCTTAATAAAGTAGGCTCACTGTCCCCTAAATTGTTTGTGCTAACAATGTGGTTTACACAGAACACCTGCTTTCCTTCTGGGAGTCTGGAATCTTGGTATGTGCTAAGCAAAGGATACTGACATGACTAGCCCCTAATAAAAACTCTTGGCACTAAGTCTCAATGAGCTTTTCCTTTAAACACATTTCACATGTTGTCACAATTCATTACTGGAGGATTTTTTTTTTTTTTTTTTGAGACAGAATCTCGCTTTATTGCCTAGGCTAGAGTGAGTGCCATGGCGTCAGCCTAGCTCACAGCAACCTCAAACTCCTGGGCTCAAGCGATCCTCCTGCCTCAGCCTCCCGAGTAGCTGGGGCTACAGGCACGAGCCACCATGCTCGGCTGATTTTTATATATATATATATATTAGTTGGCCAATTAATTTCTTTCTATTTTTTTTTAATGGTAGAGATGGGGTCTCGCTCAGGCTGGTTTTGAACTCCTGACCTTGAGCAATCCGCCCGCCTCGGCCTCCCAGAGTGCTAGGATTACAGGCGTGAGCCACCGCGCCTGGCCATTACTGGAGGATTTAAACATATCCTCTGTGACTATACTGGGAGAAGCTTATGTGTGGTCTCCCATGAAATTCATCCCATGTGTCTTTCCCTTTGCTGATTGTGTTTTAAATCTTTTCACTATAATAAATCTTTGCAATGAGTACAACCATATACTGAGTCCTGTGGGTACTTATGGTGAATCACCAACCATGGAGATGATCTTGGAGATCCCCAACACAATCACAGAATGGCAACTACAAACCTTACAAAGTTATAAGTTAATATATATTAGGTGATTATTAAATGCCAATTAGACTGTAATTCTTCAATTATGTTAAAAATATCAAATGTGGGGTGGGGGGGACCTAATCTTAGGGAGGTGGCGAGTATTTTGGAGGGGAAGGGCATAACTCTAACCCTTCTTAGGGAGAGGCAAAGATATACAATGTAACAAAAATGTCAAAAAAAATCAAAACAAAACTTTTTATCGGGTGGTGGGCAGGCGGTAGGGGGGAGGAGGAAAGGGGTGTATGCTTCCATAACGTGTGTGATGCACACCACCGGGGGACTGGACACATAGGGGGAGGGTAGGGGGGCAGGGGCAATATTTGTAACCCTAACAATATTTGTACCTCCATAATATGATGAAATAAATAAATAAAAATCAAATATATCCTATCATTAAAGTTATCTGAAAGAAAAGTGTTTACCTATATATGTAAATTTTATATAAATTTTCTCTCAACTCTACTATTAAAGATGAAACAGAGCTAAAACAAATTCATGAAAGCCATGTGTCACCTTACCAGACAGGTACAGAATCTGGAAAGATGAATATTTTCAATATCACCGAAATTCAGCTTTTTCCCTTAATACTGAAAGCCTATTTACATATAAATATAGTATGCAAAAGAGCTAAATGTTTTATTTACAATTTCATTTAAAAATCCATAGGAAGTTGCTGATATTGGGAAAAAATAATTCTTGGAAAAAATGGAAGCTAGTGAATAATATGGAAAAAATCACTAGAAGCTCTTTCAGTGTCAAGGAATAATCTGAAAATAACTAGATAGCACAGAATGATCTGAAGGGTTGACTAAATCAATAGGAGATTTATAACTTTAATTTTTCAAATTTGTTCAATTATCAGATTTTAGCATTTACTATAGTTTCACAAAATAAAGGATTTATTGAGAAATTCCAGAATTGAAGGGTTAGAGGTTGAACTGGGGTCACACTCATACCTTCACAGACTGACCTAGTGACTTATTTTTACTTCGTATTTCCCTTTCTGACCTCTCTGCCCTTACAACTTATCTTTACTAGTCAGTATCAGCAACAGCATCCACAATAAGATGTTATAAATTACTACTGACTCTCTTATCTTTACATCTAATAAAATTTAAGAATTAACTTAAGATAGATTTAGAAGTATCAGAATTAAGCACTATATTTATACCACCCTTTCCTGAAACAGGTGTTTAGTAACTATAAGGGAACAATAAGACATATTCACCAGTAAAAAACAAAACCAAAAAGCTGCTTTAGCTTATACAAAAGCAATCTATATTATACTATGGGTGATATAAATGAAAACAAGAGTTGGATTAAATTTAATGGTTTAAATTATCCAACCTAGACAGTTCTTTTCTGAAAAGTAAGTTAAGGTTCTTGTAAGCCTGATTTATAACTTACTAGAGAAAGTAATTCAGCTATCTCTGAAGAAGGTTCAAGAATGAAGAGAAGAGTAACAAAACAAGAAGTGGTATGCATAATGAATAACAGTGTTTAATTCTACTGTAGCTGACCATGTTTCTATTCTTCCCTCTCCCCAAAAATCAGGCATAGATATATTGTTATGTATCTGCCATGCAGTTTACAAAGCCTTGGCATTACCTCTGTAGAATCATTACAGACAAATTCCATTAGTACTAGTTAAAACATTTTTTAAATAAGTTTACATAGGAAAATCTAGATTACAGAGATGCCTGAAGTTTACAATCAGAGGCAAAGGTGAACTTGAGTATCTTGGTTCCTAGCCCCTTACCCTTTCTATTAACTATTCTACCTTTTACACAAAAGTCAAACTACAAAGTGATTGACGATGCTAACTTTACAAATGTCTTAATATATTATTTCTTTAACAATTTATCAGTTCGCTCAGTTTGTAGTTCAACAATTCATCACTCAATAAATATTTACTAACAACTTTCAGAATTTAGAAAAAAAAAAGATTTTCTACACATCCAAGAGATTAGTTTCTTGGTTATTTCTGTTGACAATCGTTATTAAAGATTTTGAATACTTTAGGAAATAAGTTTAAAATGGTATTCTAAAGCGTAATTAAATATCTATTTAAAAAATGACACACTAGGCCGGGCGCGGTGGCTCACGCCTGTAATCCTAGCTCTCTGGGAGGCCGAGGCGGGAGGATTGCTCGAGGTCAGGAGTTCGAAACCAGCCTGAGCAAGAGCGAGACCCCGTCTCTACTATAAATAGAAAGAAATTAATTGGCCAACTAATATATATATATAAAATTAGCCGGGCGTGGTGGCACATGCCTGTAGTCCCAGCTACTCGGGAGGCTGAGGCAGCAGGATTGCTTGAGCCCAGGAGTTTGAGGTTGCTGTGAGCTAGGCTGACGCCACGGCACTCACTCTAGCATGGCCAACAAAGCGAGACTCAGTCTCAAAAAAAAAAAAAAAAAAATGACACACTAAAAAAAGTGATAACATGTTTAAGGCAAAGAATCGTTTTGTAACAGTGTAAAGTTTATGAAAGATCTGGTAACAGATATGTACTCTTGAGTCATTTCTAGTAAAGTTTAATTATTCCATTTATGAAATTACATTCATCCTAAGAACACCTACCACCTACCCTGGTAGGTGTTTCAGCCTTCCTGAAAAAGAAGGGGGCTATTTTCCTTATTTTTCAAAAAACAAATGATAAATTATCTCCTTCTGATTAAGGACAACTGTCACAGGAAAAGGTTTTTAAATATTCTTATGAACTGACATTTCTAGTTATTTTTAAATCTAAAAGAATTCAAGTTTTCCATCAATTAAATAAAAAGCAGAGAACTCTCACCAAGGTAAAATAGTTGAGAAACAGGTGGCCCAGAGGCCTCTGATGTCAAGCAGTCATGAAGCTGAGAACATATCATTGGAAAGCAAATAAGCTAAAATATGAGACTGACCAATAAAGAAACTGAAGGAGTTAGTGAGGAAGACACTGAATTACATTTTAGGAATATATGTAAATTCTACATAAATTTTCCTTTTAATAATTGTAATTTGAAAAGGTCTGGTAAACTGATAACCTAAATAAGCATCTGAGAAAAGGCAACTCTGTGGATACTGCAAGACATGGTTAAGGTGCCCACTGCCACCTAGTGGTAGTACACCAAATGCAGTAATGCTGCCTCCAAAACAGTGGTCTCCACATAGTGGGGGAGAATAAGATAATGAATCGACTGCAATGTAGGAAAAAATATTAAAACTTCCATTTTTTATTTTGTATGTAATATAGTAATGCCATACTATATGTAGATTTTATAAATAAATAAATATACAAGTATTTTCAATATGTGCTGCATAATTTTGTCCTTTAATAACACTACTTTAAAAAAAAAAAACCTCTCCATTTTTTTTATGTCGGGAAAACAAACTTAAGGACAAAATTAGCAGGCAATATATAAGAAACAAACCCCAACAATCCCCAATAGTTGTCACAGATTTAGAACTTGGGGCTGGGTGCGGTGGCTCACGCCTGTAATCCTAGCATTCGGAAGGCTAAGGTGGGAGGAACCCTTGAGGTCAGGAGTTCAAGATAAACAAGACCAAGACCCCATTTCTACCAAAAACAGAAAAAATTAGCTGGGCATGGTGTAGCACACCTGTAGTTCCAGTTACTCAGGAGCCCGAGGCAGAGGATCGCCTGAGCCCAGGAGTTCGAGGTTGCAGTGATTTAGATAATGCCACTGCACTCTACCCAGGGTGACAGAGGAAGACTCCGTCTCAAAAAAAGAACAACAACTTTGTGTTATATAGTAAAGTCTTCCTTGAATAATCATTCTAAGTTCTAATAAGAGGCTCTGAGAGGCCTTTAAAAAGAAGCAGCTTTATTTCTTATTATAATGAAGGTTCCTGGTGCAATGGTTCTTTACTTTCATAGTCAGGGACCCTTTTAAATGTGATGAAAGCCATGGATCCTCTTTCCAGAGAAAAGAACACAGATACTTATAAAATTTAGTACATAATTTCAGGGAGAGTTTATGGAATTCAGGATGGAAACCGTTGAAGATCTTTTACACCTTGATATCCTATTTTTACTCCCTGGTATTAAATATTTAGAAAATGAATTCATAATACTTCAAGTGTTCATTATTAAGTTAAAGATCAATGTTACACGGAGCTATGATTAGTTCTAAACTCACTATTACAGTAAATTAAAGTATAAAATAACTATTTTGAAATAAGAAAAAAGGATAAATCTTAAAGTAGAAAAGCAACAAATATGTTAGATAAAATTTACTGCCTTTAGGGAAGATCTTAAGACCAGACTGTATAGTTTCCAAACTTAATCTACCATGGATACAGAATTAAAATATAAGTATTAGTGATCGTCACCCTATGTATTCTTCCTCTATGCTATGAAAAAAAACCCCAAAGAACGGTATGTTTCCTAAGTCTCACCTGTCATTAATTAATTTAAAATAAGAGCACAAGAAACTTTAGTATTTGCTCATAGAACTAAATATTAGGTATTAATGTAAGGTACATGTATCCACAAGAATTAAACTATAATCTAAAATCTTCTGATCAATGATTGTCAAAGAGCTTACCATTTGGGGGGTCTCGTCTTTTCTCTGTTAGAAAATAAATTAGAAAACGTTATTAGACATATGTAATACACCACCAACATAAAAAACTGAATTCACTTAAGCTCTTCTAAATTGATGTACAGGTGATTAAGGAGAAATGATATTTGGAAGAACTGACATTTAAGCAGAGATCTAAATAAAATGAAAAAGGGGACAATATATTCAAGGGCCCAAAGGAAGGCACAACATAAAAGAACATTACTAGGACTAGACTGGTGGGAGCAAAAGGCACAATAAAAAGAAACAAGTCAGAAGGAACAGTCAGGGACTGGATTACGTAGGATCTCACAGTCTGTGGTTAAGGACTATAGATTTTATTCTTTATATGATAGGAAGCTCTTATAGGGTTTTGAATAGGGCAAATGACATGATCTAATGTATTTTGTTAAAATTTTACTGTGGCTACTGTGTGGAAAAAAGATAATAGAAGGAATAAAGTGGCAGCAGGGAGACTAATCAGGGAGCTAGAGTGGTAGTCTAGATGACAGATCATAGAGGCTTGGACTGGGATGGTGGTAGCAGAGGTGGTAGAAATCATCAGATCCAGGGACATATTTTTGAAGGCAGAGCCAACAAGAATCATTGAGAGGACTTAAAATGGATCATGGTAAGCCTGAGAGACGAGGTAGAGCAAATACCTTTTACTGAGACAGGAAAGAATAGAAGAGGAATAGGAACAGATTTGAGTGGTGCTGGGGTTGAGGATACAGACATAGATCAAGTGTTCTGACCAGACATGTTAAGTCTGAAGTCTGTACTGCCATCCAACTTGAATAGACAGTGTCTGAAAGTCAGAGGAAAAGTCAGTACTGAAGATAACATTTTGAGAGTCATCACCACACAGATGGTTTTGAAAGTTATGGGACTGGACGAAAGCACAAAGGGGATGAGAATACCCAGAAAACTCTAGGCACTGGGACAGACCAGAAAAATACTCAAAATACAGCCAATTAATAATTAGGTAGGAGGAAAACCAGAATGTCTATCAATTCATTGCATTCATATTCTTACATACCAGGTGTGCTCAGAATAAGACACTATTTTGGCTTTAAGAAAGTTCAAAAGTGGTTTAAGAATTTTAAATGTAATTTCCACAAATTTTCTAATATAAAACTTTCTGAAATTATAAATAACTGAGGCAATAATTAGTTTATAAATAATCACAAACAAAAATCAATAGGACTTAACTGGTAGACAAGTTAAAAATCCTAGCACTAGGATATATAAATGTATTACTCTATCTGAAGATCTGATAAAGTAACTGTCTTAAACATTTGAAGTAAGCCAGTCCTGCCTACGTCAATAAACGTCAAACTCCAATTTCCAAGGTGATGTTATCTCTGTACCCAGGGAGGAAATACTTTTTTAATTGGTGGATGACACAAAAATGGAAATATAGTAAGATAAATATAAAAGTTCAGAGTATAATATAAATTCCAAGAAGCAATTACTTAGATTTATGACACCATCCTGGCTTGAAAGTGAAAAGAGGGGGAGGAACTGGTTGAACAAATCAGAATGGGAGCTAATGGTGGGAGGCATTTGTTAGAAATATTTTCAGAATAGTGTTTAATCAAACTGAGGGATGTTTTAGTATCACAGTGCTTAGACTACATATGGAGTACTGTGTTCAAATTTGAACACCATATTTTGAAAAAGATGTAAAATCTATAGTGGATTCAGAGCATAGTATTTAGGATGATATGACTATAAACTATATCATAGGACTATTTCAAGAAACTGGAACTGGTTAGACTAAAGAAGAGATAAGGAGAATAGGATAGATGGTTCCCAATACAAAGTGGCTATTGTGAGGAAAAGAAAATAAACTAATTCTTTGTTGCTCTACAAGTTGGATACCGTGGGTCCAAGTTAACGAGAGGTATAGATGGAGTTTGACTCAGCATAAAGGGCTATCCAATGATGACTCAGCTGCCTCCCTAATGTTATGATCTTTCTGTTTCTGAAACACTTTGCCTAGAAGTTTAAGAACAATATAAAACAAAATGCCTGTGCCAGGTGAAAGGCGCCTTTAACTTGCCAATTTCAAAATCAATTATTTTATATTTTAAGAAGTATTTTTTACCCTTTTTTATATTGAAAATGTCACGTTTTGATTGAAAAGAGCCCCAGACAGCCCTGGCCTAGCATCATAGGATGCCTTTGAAATAAGCAGTGAATTATTCCTAAAGCTGTGGTTTCAATACCATAGCTTTAAATCCTTCCCTATCATGGAATCAAGTGATAAATGTCCTTGGCCCCCAAAAGTAACAAAAAATAATAGGCCCTTAATGATTCTCCTATTCACTCACAATAAGTACAATATAGTAGTAACATGGCAATAGTGAAGCAACAATTTAGTTCATCTGATTTCATTTTTGCCTCACCTCTCTCTTGGAAACTTAGTAAAATAACAATAAAGATGTATAAAGGATGAATATATGCTTTTGCATTGCTGTTTTCCATATCTGCCTTTTCTTGCTTTATTTCCTCTTATTGGTAAAGCACATCCTTGAATACAGTGATCTTCAAACTGGGGTAACATGTACCCTTGGAAGTAGAGAAAAACTTTTCAAGGAATGCATGGGTATGGCTAGTTTTAAGAGGATCTGTTTGTCAACCTCAACTCCCATATGTTCCCTCCTAAAAGTGATCTGCTTAAGATGATAATTTTAGAGAAGTTCACCTTTCCTAATCATCCTCCACTTTAAAAGAGAAAAGCTTTATATATTATTATTGTTAAACAACAGTTCCACACCAATTAATTTAAAGCTCTACACCAGGCGTCCTCAAACTATGGCCTGCAGGCCACATGCAGGTGTTTTTGCCTGTTTGTTTTTTTACTTCAAAATAAGATATGTGCAGTGGGCATAGGAATTTGTTCATAGTTTTTATTAAACTATAGTCTGGCCCTCCAATGGTCTGAGGGACAGTGAACTGGCCCCCCTGTTTAAGAAGTTTGAGGACCCCTGCTCTACACTATCCTGCATTATTCTCTAATTGTTTTATATGTGTTAGAGTTGTCTCATGCACTAAACTAAGTTCCTTATAGTTTTATAGTATATAGCATTAGGGGCAGAATAGACAGGTAATGTTTACAGATCTTGTCTGCAACTCTACTTATTTGCTTCTAAACTTGCTTAAAGTCTTTGTTGAAAAAATATTAAATACTTTAAAATATGTAAGCTACAAATGATGTCATTAAAAATATAATTTAAGAATCACTATACATGGAATTTTATCAACAAAAATGATTACGAGGATGGATCCTTCAGTAAATCTAAAAAAATTAGTTCTCAATAAAAATATCATGTCTCTTAAGGTAGGAACAATCACATTTTTTTAAATAAAGGGCCAGATATTAAATTTCAGGCTTTGAGGGCTATATAGTCTTTGTTGTAGCTATTCAACTGTGTTGTGGCAAAAAAAGTAGTCACAAGCAATGTAACCAATGAATGTAACTATGTTTCAATAAAACTAATTACAAAAACAGGCAGTGGACCACATTTTCCCCTTGAGCTGTAGTTTGCTGTCCCATTTTAAGTAATTAATTTAAAAAAAGGGGGTGTTTACCAGATTTCCTTTGTCGCCGGCACAACAGGTCTGTAACTGCTTTTCGGAATTTTTTTGCTTCTTCTTCATTGGCAAAATTAAGGGCAACTTGACAAGTCTGAAATGTTTTCATAAAAAAGGTGAAAGAACAAAAATGCATGAATTTAGCCTTATATAACAAAAGTGATGATGACCAACAGAAGTACATTTTTAAAGAAAAAAGGATAACCTTATTAGCAGACATTATTTTATGATCTGAATAGCTTCAGAAGGCAAAAAGCATGGAGAACCTAAAATAAAAGACTACGTTACCTATCACAGTAGACACTCAAATAATCAACTAAATACTTCATTTTCAGCAAAACAATAGTACATTAAATTTGATCTTTCAATAGGGCTCTATAAATAATTTGGATTAGAAAAGGCAAGCAAAGTAAAAATTAAACATGGCAATAAATAAAAATATGACTTACATCTCCAGCAAAGGTATGAAAATATCCTCTAGGACTATTATATACAAAGTTATTGTATAGCTCTTGTTCCCACAATAGTTTCCCATCCTAGAAAAATAAATTAAAATTAAAATAAGAACTACCAAGAAAAAACACCTCTAGGAAAACAAAGTAGATGGCTCATATTGAGGAACTGTTTATATAAACAATAACGTTTATAAACACATATATTACATACATGTATAACATAATTAGCATCAGATAATTCAATTAGTAATTTCTTAATAACAAAACAATGAACACTAGATAATGTTTCTTTTGTAAAACCTACATATCAAGCAAGTTTAATTCAGTATGTTAAGATATAATCTCATTAGCCAAGCACTTCCAAATACAGTTACTTGGTCAAATACATAACCAGAGTAATTACTAGAGATCATCAATTCATGTAGAAGGAATAGGATACTTTTGTACATGTACTGATTACCAATACATAATTCATTAACAGTATTTAGACCATGTGCCATCAAATACTACAGGAATACATCATACTCTTTACTTCAATTTTATATTAATAAACGGAGGATAGTCAAATGTATCTTCTCCGTATTGCTCATTAACAATCTTCGAATTCTTAACTTACAGAGTTGTCTGCTAATTAAATGCTAGTACAAGTAGTATCAATCATGCTGCAGAAAGAGACTGATGATTAAAACACATCAATTTTAAACTATGGATACGAGAGCCACGGATGATATCCATATCAATCACCATAGTATAAAAAATATATTTAACTTTAATACCAAAGGTGGCTAATTGTAAGTTTTCATCAATGGTTATCTATAATTGGAAATAAATGGTTAGAGAAACAACTACTGCCTTATTCAGAAATGCAAGGTTCCATCTAGATCACAATTTTAAAATATGCAAAATATAATGTACACACATTAGGACCACTGTAATGAAATTCCTTTCTGAGTCTTAGTGGAGTTGTATTTGTGTTCCATTTCTAAATATTGCTTCCTATTGGTGATGAAAAATATATCAAAGTACTTAGCAAACCATGCATGTGTTCTCCATCCTGCAGAATTACTACCACAACAAGCCACTGTTACTAACAGGAGCATGCCATATCTCTCAGCTGTCTTGGGATACCGGGAAGCAGATATTAAGTAGCACTAATCAGCCAGGTTTGGTTGGCTCATGCCTATAATCTCTGCATTTTGGAAGGTCAAGGCAGGAGGATCACTTGAGGCCAGGAGTTCAAGACCAGCCTGGGCAACACAGCAGGATCCCATCTCTACCAAAAAAATAAATAAATTAGCCCAGCGTGGTGGCATGCACCTGTAGTCCCAGATACTCAGGAGGCTAAGGTAGAGGATCCCTTGAGCCCAAAAGTTCAGGGCTGCATGCAGTGACCCATGGTCCCACCACTGTACTCTAGCCTGGGCTACAGAGCCCAGGCTATCTCTTAAAGAGATATCTTTATCTTTAAGAGCCTATCTCTTAAAAAAAAAAAAAAAAAGGAAGCAGCAGAACTAATTTACAAATTACAGTACAGTAACTTAAATCTCATTTAATCTTAGTGAAATACTTGGTAACAGACCCAGATGATCATCCCATTTTACAAATAAATTAGCTGAGGCCAGAGATGTAAAAACGTTTGACTGTGATCTGTCTGACCATATTAGTGCCTGAGAATACAAAGGCAGTTCTAGTGTTTGGTAGTTAAAATTCCATTACACTTATTGCCACATATAAATTTAACCGTGGAAACTTATTTACAGAAAGAACTTAAAAGAACTAATGAAGACTTCACCTTAGCAAAATGATAATTACTTTTACAACAACTATAAGAGATGAATACCTGAGAAAGGACATCTAATCTATGACAATATGATCTTATGATTGGGAGTGAGAAATATAAAGCTATAAAAATCTGAATATATCTATTATGAGAAACAAGAAAAAATGGATAGCAAATACATTTTTATAAATATTGTATAATGCTTTAAATCTGGGCTAAATAATGGTACACACCAAGCTAAAATATTCTTTTGTTGTTCCCTGAAAGGACTACGTATGCTATTCTTTAATGGACAACATGGAACGGAGTATCATTAGAAAAAGAGAGAATGTGAGTAATCCTAGCACTCTGGGAGGCCAAGGTGGGCGGATTGTTTGAGCTCAGGACTTCGAGACCAGCCTGAGCAAGAGCAAGACCCCATCTCTACCAAAAATAGAAAAAATTAGCCGGGCATAGTGGCACGTGCCTCTAGTCCCAGCTACTCGGGAGGCTAAGGCAAAGGATTGCTTGAGCCCAGAAATTTGAGATTGCTGTGAGCTAGGCTGATGCCATGGCACTCTAGCCGGGCAAACAGAGGGAGACTCTGTCTCAAAAAAACCAGAGAATGTGCAGAAAGCCCAAGACATAAAGGCATAAATTTCTTTAAAAATGAGCTTTAATATGTAGTAGCAGTGGGAAGATAAAAAAGGAAACCATTCAAGTTCTGGGTTAGGACATATTCCCATTTGGTCACATGTCCATACTTCAATATCTAAAATCAAACTTCATCCTTCTAATATTAGTTTAATTTAAATATTACATAGAGGATAAAACATCTATAGTAAAGTATAATTGAGGCAGAAAACCTAATCACCTACAGTTTAAACTGAAAGCAAAACAAAACTCACCTTAATGTCAAATATTCTTAAAAAATAAGATCTCTGTGGATTGTCCTTAACAAGACAAGCAACACCACTGCATTTCTTTGACCACATACAGTTCCGATCTGCTGCAAATAACTGCACTACTGCTGAAGACATAGTCTGCAAAATATAAAATTTATAACCATTACATTCAAAATAATACTCAGATGACCACAGCCCCTGCTGATATCTTGATTGCAACTACCCAGCTATGGTGCTCCTGAATTCATGATCCACATAAACAAAAAGATAATAAACATTAATTGCTATTTTAAGCTTCTACCGTGTTTCTCCAAAAAGGAGACAGGGTCTTATAATATTTATTTTTCCTCAAGAAGACACCCTAGGGCTTATTTTCAGGGGATGTGTTATTTTTTTTAAGTACAGTACAACAATCTACATTTATTCAAATACAGTTAAGTCGTCTTCTTCTGGAACATCATCATAGTAAAATGGCAGCCACAGCTTTCCTTCTTTCCCCTGGGGACACACAATACCTAAAGCGGAGCGTCCGAGCGTCCGGCTCCTCACTTCACTGAGGAGACTTTCCCCTCAAAGCCTCAGCTTGCAGCACACACAGGATGGCCGGGACCTGACAGGGGGAGCTGACCTTGTTGGTGGGACTGCCTGCACCTTTCCGGTCACCTCTGGGATAGCAGCTGTCACGATGGGGCAGAGGAGAAGGGCTGCTCATCTTCTTTACCACTCCGTGAGGAAATGCATGGGTAGAGCAGATACGCTGCACAGACATGCCCATCACTAGGTCTTATTTTTGGGGTAGGGCTTATATTGCGCAAATGCTTAGAAATCCTGCTAGGGCTTATTTTATGGGTAGGTCTTATTTTCGGGGAAACATGGTACTTTTTGAAGTAATTTCTTATGCAGTAATTAATAATACAATAACCATATTCTAATACAAGCAACTTGTGACTTCAAATCCTGTATTATTACTCCTGTATATAGTTTCCCAATAAAGTGAACATTTAAGCAATGAAATAGTAGTATTGGTAAAGGTTGACTTCTACAAAGCAGTTAATCACTTTAGTATAAGTCAAACTTGAAAGCAAGATTTATGGTTACTGATTATAGTGCTATATACTTTTAACATATTATCACCCTGGAAGGTAAACTATCATCTACCTTCTTTTTAAAAAATGATAAAAGTGAGAGGAAAAAAGATCTTAAGTTATTTGCACAAGTGACCACATAGTTTGAAAGCTATACTGATATGAAAAATGATTTAAGTGACTACTGTTTTGATTTTTCCCAGCATAGTACCTAGAAAACCCTTTCAAATGCACAGGAGAGAAGCTAACTCATTACATGCACCTTAGCGCATTAGGGTTTCCCAGTATGCCACTGCTGCCACCTTCCTCAAGACTGTATCATAAAACTATGGAACTTCCATTTTAGTCTAAGTTAAATTTCTATTATATTATAACCTTAGAATGTAACTATTTAATCTTAGTTTCTGTAAAAGTGATACACCCATTTACTGATAATAGCACTTATAAAACCTCTGAAAGCAAAAATCATGTTTCCTGATTTAGTAACCTCATTCCTAAACTAGAAATTAAGGAAATTATTTAGAAGTTAAAATATCTGTACTTTAATGAAAATATAAATATTTTATATGGACATGTTAATTATGTTTTTTTAAAATAGAAAGAAGAGAAACAACTAAAAATAGGATCTGATTAAGTAATTATAGTACCTTAGTTAAATGGAATTTGGGCTTTGTAATAAAAAATAGATCACATTAAGATCTGGAGATACGTGGTTTTAGGTTTACTTAGCTATGCCTGAGGACTGCCTCCTTTGGTAAGGATTCTAAAGCAGTATTATCTGTACAAACCTTCTATAACAATTACTAAAGTCAGAAATGTAAAATCAGTTTACCACTAGGGATCAAAAGTTCATAAATATTTGCCCAGATAACAGCGTTCAATGTACATTTTTACCTTCACACGCTAAATTCATCTTTGAATTTCACGTCTGTCATGAGGACACAAAGAAGTAGGACAATTTCCACAAGAAGAGCCATTAAAAATTAGGAAAACTTAGAAACAAGAAAAATGTTTATATTCGGACACTGGGTATAAAAGAGGAGACTAAAGAACATGAATACACCTTTGGCCTGCTCAAAACATGCCCTTATTTTTCTGCAAGTGTACAATCTCAGGATGATAGTACCATACGCTTCCTGCCCCTAGGACTGAAAACCTCAGAAAAATGGATTTTGCAGATATTATCCAAAGGTATCAAATACCACGCTGAAAAATTCAAAACCAAGTAAGAAAATTTGTTTTTCTAATGAGAATTCATACAAATTAAAGCCTCTTAAGGATATTATTATCAAAATGCAATCATTTCTTAAAAGAAGAACAATTAGGAAATGAGATAAGCCAACATGAAGATCTAAAAATCTCCCTAATTTACTTTTTAACTAGAAAACAAGTAATAGCTTATGAACAAAAAATCTGTTCTTTATTAATAGAGTCTGAAATTTAAGTATGAAAATCCCCTTGCCAAAGGACCAAATATTAACATTGTAATATATCGCGTGGATATACATGTGAACTTACAAAAAAAACCCAAAAAATCCTAAATTAAAAATCCACATTTAAACATTTATATAAATTTAAAACAAACTCTTAAAACATCTGCTTAAGAAATACTCATTTAACAATGCTACAATTTCCCACACAGACATGGTTTAGCATTATAAACTTTAATCTTAAACTGAAAACCTAACTATTCATAAGCAATTTTCAGTAACTGGATTTTTAAAAATTTGCTACAATCTTATCTAAGTGTTTCTTATCTATTTCACTTCTTTCTTTAAGCTGGCAAAGTCTGAAAATGATATAACATAGCACCTTGTAAAGCCTTTTCTGATTAATTCAGAATTATAATAGCTTACACACATTTAATACAGTATATAAATGCTAGACAATATAAAACAGTAACTATCCCTTAAACTCTAGATTGACAGTGGCTTAATTAAGTTTTTAAAAACATTCCTTCCATTCTTTTAAATTAATTACAACTAATCAACTCCATTACTTCTTGTCTTTCATAATCAAGAAGATATTAATGAAAAACAACCTAAGAACACATGCTTAGGAAGGGAAATCTATTTCTTACTAGCTCAATAATGTTAAGGTTAAAATTTGTTAATTAAAAGAAAAAAAAGTACTGTATCAACTTTTGTAGAAACAGAACTTATCATATCTTATGTATTCCTGATATTTCACTAATGAGTAACTGCAATAACACATTCACCCTCAGAACTTTGATTGTTTAAGGGCAGAAATAAGATATGGCATGTATTCTGGGAAAATGAATTCCTTCCCCCAATTTCTTAGGTTGAAATGACTGTCTGCTTTTTCGTCACATTTCCAGAGTACTTGTTTGTGTATCTTTTCTGTTACTCTGTTCTTCATTGATCCTATTCTAAAATAGAATAATATTTTTATTGATTTCTTACTCATTAAACAAACTGCAATTCCCTTAAGCGCTTAAAATAGTTTTGTAAGCCTATACTTTCACTCCACCTATACATTGTCCCCAAGTAAACAAATATTTGTTAAACTGAAAATTGCATGTTGTGATTTTGATAATGATACTAAGATAATAAGAGAATGACTTTGATTATAGAATATATACCCTGAAATATTGTAAAGGGGCATTATGTCTGCAACTTACCCTCAAGTTAGTCAGAAAAAAATAACATGCATGTATGGATGCATATCCACACACACACATATGGGGGGAGAGGGAGATGGAGAGTGAGATGGGGAGGGAGGGGGGGAGGGGGGAAGGGAGGGAGAGAGATCGATCGATCCATGGTAAATGTTATAAACATTTGGCAAATCTGGATAAAGGATATGTAGGAATTCTTTCTGCTGTATTTGCAATTTTTCTGTAAGTATGAAATTATTTCAAAATAAAAACTTTTAACAAGCACAAATGATTCATAAAAATTATAGGACTCTTAGCCCTCTTTCACAGGCGTAACAATCTTGAAAAGCTGGTTCTCTTCTCAGAGCCATTACCCACCACTATATACATTAGCCACTGTCGTAGCAACCCAAAACTAAGAAGATTGCCACTTCTTCCAATTTCCTCTTTATATATAACAACTTTGTTAAAAGGAGTTCCATCCTGAGTAAGACTTAACCTGCGAACATCTAGCACTTCTACTGTTTATATTCCTTTCACGTTTTCAGAACAACTACGTTACATAACAGGTCAGGATAAGAATTTCAGATCAGGAAAACAGGTGTTTCTTTAATTACAGAATAAGCAAATGACAGAGTAAAGACTGGAAAATACCAGGCCTCATGGGTCACTTTTTTTTATCAATTAACTTTCTACAATAAATACTAAGATGACTTAGTACTAAATAACTGTTTGTAATATTTTAATAATGTAAGAAAAGATACAGTGTTGTTAAAGAAAATATTTAAAGATATACTTTAAAGAAATATCTAAAATAAACTGAGTATGAAGAAAAATCATAAGAATAAAGTCAAGTCTTTTCTATGATCACTTTGGCCTAAATTAATAGTGAAACACTCCAACTTTTATATGTATGTACATGTCTGTGTGTGTACTTGGCCTCAATGCCTAAAAACTTATCTGGGAAAATCTATCCTAAGTTTCCTCATTACATAAAAGCTAAGCTCTAAACACATTCCTAAGTGCTCTGATGATATATAAATACAAAATCACCCATTATTATACTAAACATAAAGTTGACCCTTGGACAACATGGGTTTTAATTGCATAGGTCCACTTATACACAAACTTTTTTCCAATAAATACCCGCCATATGGATGGGTTCCATATCTGCAACCATACGCCACTCAAAAATAGAGTATATGGAGGGTCGACTTTTCATGTTGGCGGGTTCTGCAGGGCCTGAGAATGCATGGCTTTTGGTATCTACAGGCAGTCCTGGAACTAATCCCCTGTGGTTACCGAGAGGTGACTGTGAAATTTTAATCTATACATTATAGAAGGAAGTATAAAAGAAAAGAATTTGGCTGAATTCTTATGGTTAATTATGCAGTGATCTCAGGCAATTTTCTAAATAATGAAAGTATGACAATACC